TCACAAAATGTATTTTAAAATTATCCTGTACTAATATAATCATTTTAATATAGGGTCTACTACTATTTTTATAATCCAGGTATAAATTAACCATTGTAAATATTATATAAGTTGATTTTAAGTTAGTAATTTAAAAATTGTTTTGCTATAGATTAATATTTTATGAAAAAAAAGGAAATTAAGGTGGATTAGCTATTTACTGACATATATTTTTATGTTAACTTATATTGTTATTTTGTGCAAAAAGGATAAGTTAAGCTCTTGAATACTTAAAAAAAATTGTATAAATTTAATGCAGGGACTTGACAGAATACTTTTTTGAGCAAAAATATTTTTTTTTAAAATGTTATAAGTTACTCCAATTCAGATGTGAATAAAATATAAAATAAAAATTAGATACTATTTATTACAAATTAATAGCCAGAATATTCAACAAGATTGAATTTATATTTTTTGAATGCATCAAGTCTATTAATATAATTTTTTTTACAGCCAACATTTAAGTATGAAAGCTTATATACAATTTTATTTAATGAAATCATAAAACAATTTAAACAAATTTAATTGAGCTTTGGCACATTAGATTTGTAGCTTACTAAGTCACATTTAACTGAAATGAATATCAAAAGATCACTAGGCATTATGTGATAATTTCACAACAACATATCATATTAATGTTTAAAATACATAATTCTTTACATTTTAGATTAAAAAAACAGATCAAAGTTTTTAATCAACATGTAAGCAAAACATAACATCTATGTTGTGTAACATGCAGATATTTGAACATATCATTATTTTAAATTTAATTTTAATAGTTTTGACTACAACCCTAACAATAAACATAATCTTTAAAAAAATATTGTGGTTTTATAATTCAGTTAGATAAATTATTTAACCTTTAAAATCCTCTATATTCACATTATTTTTTTATATTATTTTTAGTGTTACAACATTCTTCCCTAGAAAAATAATTCCACTATTTTCTGTGAAACAAAAAATGTAATTAAAGTATACTTAGAATTATCTTTAAGTTTTATTCAATTATTTTTGTTAATTGAAACAACAAACTTGAAAAATATTTCAGGAAAAAAAATTATGTCTTTAACTTCCACTGATACAGAATCAAAAACATGAATAACTATTAACTTATTCCAAGAAATTTGTTATAAAATTATTACTGTTAAAATAAAGACGTAAATTTTAAATAAACATAAAATAACTATTTCAAACAATAAATTTGTAAAAATAAAATGTATATTTATATAATTTGTATCATGAATACTTATCAAAAGCTTTTAAAAACCTTACATTTACACATTAAAAACAAACAAGTAAGACTAAGAAGGTCAAGAAAGATGCCTTGTATCAGAGGTAGGTTATTGAAAACAACTATGGCAATGTACTGTGGCACAGCCACATACACTAAGGTTTAGCTAGGGAATCAGCTATTATATTTATGTTTCCTCTGTAAAGTTTGCTACATACCTTTCTAAATTTAAAGCTATAAGTATAGTAGCTAGAAATTAAGAGTTTGTTAAAGAATAGTTTAAAAAATAAGATTTGACTTATTTTTTTTCTGCATATATAGAAATAATTAAGCTAAAGTTCTGTTATTTTTACATATGTATTATTTTCTATGAATATTATATTTAAATTGACATAAGTATAAAAATATTTTATATTGTAAGCAAATGAATTAACACTTTGATAATATAAACAACCCCTTTTTAAAAAAATAGAATTATATAATCATTCAAGCTTGCCACCTGCGAAAAAACTAAAAACTCACTGTTGTTTTGTTATTAAAATGTTCGCACAGAAATTGGAACTGTATATTATGTTTGTAATTACTACTTCAAATTTTTAGTGAAAGTGAAATATTGAAAACAAGAACTTAGCTTTAAAATTGAAAAGAGAAAAAAAAAACTAGAATAATACACATGATGTCTAAGGTGCAGATCAAGAATTTTGTTAAACCTGTTATTTTTTTCTGGAATGTAAAAACTAAAAGAATTTATAGGAATTATACTTTATTTTACTTTAAAAAATATTGTCAGAATTTATGGATTTAATAAACAATTATACTGGTATGTTTATCGGAATGTTTTCTTTTACTTTTACTAATTAATTTACATCAGACATATCTAAAAAATAAAATGTTATATGTTAATGACTATACAAACATTTAACAAAGTACAAAAATTAGGGGAAATTAGATGCTAAATTTTTACCCATTATAAAAAAAAACCTTTAAATATAAATGTTAATATCTAAAACTATTAATCAAGAATGGGATCTAAAACATGGGTTGTAGAAAACTATTTATAGTTGATAAGCAAAAATAGAAATTATCTAGCTTTACAGAAAGAAAAAATGTTCTGAAATTTAAATTGTGTTTTGTTTTTAATCCTTTCAAGTATATTGATTTTTAGAATAGGTTTAACATTTTAACAAAGCTGAAAAAGAAGACCCAATCAAGTTTTGATTTGTCTTTTTTGTATGTTGAGATTTTGTTCCACTGATTTGTTTTATTAGAACCTATTTCTTGATGATTTTGTAATAAATTTAATAAAGTAAAATAATTCTACAACCCCTTGAATTCATTTGGACAGTGATTAAGTTACTACTTTACACTTTCCTGAAAAAAAAAACCACCGGATTTACAGTAGAAAAAAAAGTTTAATAAGTTTAAGAATTTTAAAAAATTACTACTTGTGACTTCTTAACATTTTTTTTTCGAAAAGTACATTCAGCAATGCAAAATCATCTCCAATATATTTCTGAGGTAAGGCGGATTTTAACTGTTTTTCAAATCACTCAAAAAAAAAAAGTTAGTTATTATATTTTGAAATAAACTTAAATTGTGGTTAAAAGCTATAAAGAAATTTAAATACAAATTATTTTGTAGTTTTGTCTCATTTTTTCAAGCGTTTGTTTTATTTCATTATTTTGCAAAAATAATTTATAAAACAAAAAGTAAAGCTTTCTTATTCTAATTTAATTATGTCTATTTCTGTAACACTATTTCTATTTTTCCCACACAATAAGTAAGGCTTGGAAAGAATTAATAAATAGCAGAACTAAGCAAAAGATATAAATGTTTATCTACACAAACAATATAATTTTATCTTACAATATAAACAAATATCATTCAATTATTTTCATAAAGTTTAAGAGAAACAATGAGCAAATTATCTTATAAATTAATTCATAATACACAACATCTAATGGCGGGATGTAAGGATAACATAATAATAGAGGACAGTACTTAGAGTCTGCGTTTTCATTTTATTAAAAATTAAATAGAGAATTAATTAAAATAAAATGAATTTAAAGTATTTTAGTACGAACATGATGAATGTGAAGAACTTTAGTAGTAACATGCTTATTAACAAGACAAAATAAAAGCAAACATGCTGCAAAATTCTCTATTGGCACAAGGCTAAATAAGAGCTGGATGGTTCAAATGTTGTACTCAGGCAACCTTCAGCTTTGTGATGAGTTTCTTCTCCCTGATGATGCTTGAAGCATGAATTCATCAGTCCACATCTGGTCATTTCTTCAGCCTGGTCTTGCGCTGTCTCCTCCTGGAATAACTTCTGGACAGGTCAGCCATCTTGCACAAAAGGGGAACTCTTTGCGAAAGGTCGGCAGCCATCTTGAAAAGAGGTAGATTCCTCAGATAGATCCCAAACTCCGTCCAGAGCCATCAGCAAAAGTTGTAAGGACACACAACATGCGAGAAGAGAAAATGAGACAATAGAGGGTTAAGATAGGAAGCAATTCAAACATGAACGTTAGCTCAATAATTTAGTGATAGAATGCGCAAAGAATTTGATGCAAATCAGAGTGAGATAATAACATGCAAGTCATAGCACCTGTAATATCATTCTTTAAATTACCTTTTGCAATGTATGTTGTAAAGAAAATATAAGCATTCAAATCTTAAATGTGCATAAATAATTCATAAAATATAAACTTTACTAGACTTATTAAAGTTTAGATATTTGTTTATAATGTTCTTTTTTTTTTCATTTAAAGCATTATAGCAGGCTGCAATTGATATTTGTTATAAAATAAACAATGAATCATTAGTTAAGTTACACATACTTCTAGATGTCAATAACTTGTTTATCTGTACTTTTGAATAACTACAACTAAAATTGTTAATAACAAGGAAATAGATAAATAAATCTGAAAAAGAAGAAATAAGATCAGAAAGAAACAATTCAGTTTCAAACTATTATTTATTTGTCTAAACTATTTTTTAAACTGTTTCTTTTACGTTAAAAAAAATATATTCACTCATTTGTTATGAATAATAGACAAATAAAAATAATTTCAAACTGAGCATAGAGAACAAATAAAGAAGATTTGTAACATTTTCTGCTTGTAATGCAATATGCTTGTCAAATATATTTTTTAACTTAAAAATAGTCTCGTATTTCTAGAAATATTATATATTAAATAAAAGTGCATGCCTCCATAAATTAGTTCTTAAAATCTCTTGGGTCTGCTTGCAAGGCAGAGAATGTTACTTTGAAACAAGAATTAAATATTTCATCTTGTTAATATCATGCAAATCATAATAACTAAAGAGTGATATGAAGACAACACATTTTTTTTTCTAATTTCCTTACTGTTTTTGAGAGAATTTGTATAACCAATATCTTTTTTAAAAATGCTAGATAATATGTCAAAATGAGAAAGTGTTTTTTTTTTTTTTGTAATATAATCTGGCGTTGTGTTGAAGAAATACAAAACATACAAAGAAAGAAGAAATATTCAAACATGATTCGGCAGTGTTTTTGTAATAATAAATTAGGAAATTTCCAAATCCTTTTAATTAATTAACAAAACAAAGAAGATGCTTACATATACTTCAATGCAAGCTTATGAAGAACCTGTCCAAATTTTTTTTCTACAATCAATACCACTAGTTCAGTCATAGTTTGACATCCATGTCATTTACCAGTAAATGAAACATACGTTGGCTATTTGTTTTGTAATGTAAAACATCCCACAAAGTAACAGCTAATCCCTTGTTAAGATCTTGATAGTTCACTTCCACATTGAAAGATATAGACATCAACCGCGTTAACAAACCTCCGAGAAAGTGTAGCGTTAACTTCAATCCCGGCAAAAAAATTTTCTCATGCTTTCCATCGTCTGGTCTTGTCTGTGTTAAAATATCCTTGAAAACTGTTTGAGGTAAATCCTTCCAATGAAACAACAGCATTGGATGAGTGTGAAAATGTCAGCAAGCAAGCAAACATGGAGTGGTTGCAAAAACTAATTTCTGATCAATTTTTTTTTTAAAACCTTACCTCAATAATGTCCTGTAAAATAAGGTTGTAGAGTGGTTATGGGGACCACCTACTAGGAATTATATTTATTTAAAATGAGAAGAAAAAACCTTTGAATTAAAATAAATCTGTGGCAAGCCTTAAAATGATGCCACTGCTGATCAAGTTTAGTAACATGTATTTAACTTTAGTGTTTAAATTGCAAACAGCCAAATAGACATTTTAAAAAGATTCTGCATTTAATTTTAGTTTGTTCTTTTTTTTTTTAAGAGTAAAATTATGCAAGTTTTGTGCCACTTTTTTAAAATTTATTGGAAAAAATCCATCAAGTATAAATTTTTTAAATTCAGCAAATTAATGAAACATGTTCATTAATAATGCAAGTAAAAATATAGTTTGCAATTTAAAACAATTTAAAGCTAAAATACTTAGTAAAAAAGTGTGTTGTAAAAGTTGTAAAAAAAGTTTGAAACTTACCAGTTGCTTAAGTGATTATAAAATTATGCCCTTATATTTAGAGTTTTTTGTTTTTAAAACAACTACAATACATTTTACAAAATATAATAAAACCTTATAGAATGGACAAAAAAGGGAGTTGAAATTGTAAGGAGTAAATGTACACATGAACACCAGACCTTGATGTGCTGAATAAACTGATGTCTTGGTCTTTGCCCTTGCCGATACTAACAACCAAATAAGGTTTGTTTACATTTTTCCAAAATCTCTAATTCAACCAATCAGCAACCACCACCATGTTTCTTATTTATAAGACTTTTGTAACCTTCATCAGACAACAGACATCAGAGCACAGATAGCTTAACCTATAATAACAGATGAAACAAGATTTATCTGTTAAAAATATAATTTACAAAAGCAGTAAAATAATTGTGGAAATTAAAATATTATTTGATATTGTCATTAAGCTTCTATTATTTTTACTTTTTATATTGACAAGTTATTGAAAATATAAAAAGAAACAGAAAACAAAGTGATAATAGATTCTTAATATCTTTTGTATATACATTGAAATTGGCAGGATACTTAATCACATCCAAGTCTAGTGCTTGAAAATTTTATACACATTTTTATTTTCCTATTTAAAAAGGAATATTTTTAATTTATTGGTAATCTAATAAGATTAAATAAATGGCATTTTTGAAGTCCATATTAAGGTAATATCATGCTGAAAAGAATAAATGACATTTTCTACACAAGTTGAAATATTTCTAACTAAAAATATACTATCTTGTATTACCTGCATGAGATTCTCTTAAAAAAGCATTTCAAAGCTCTAGCCACTAAACAAACTGCTAGCAAATTGCCCCAAAAACACAATAATAATTTTTAAAATTAGATCAATACACTTGTTTAACTGACCCATGTCCATAAATAATTAGAAAAGATCTTAATAAATAATAATTAAAAAAAAAAAATCATGTCGCACTAACCTTTCTGGACTTTCATGAAGGTCTGGCCAATTCATCAAGATATCCAGATTTCTTTGTCTACCACTGCCAAATGTTTTCATTCACAGCCAACTATTTTTGTTCCTCATTAACCATATTTAGGAAAAAAAAATGGAGCCACAGTATTCTCCTCATTACTTAAAATATCAAACAGCGTCAATGTTTCAGTTTCCTGATTAGACATCAGCCTCCTTGCAGCAAATTTTAATCGGAATGTTAATCTTTTCTAAATCTGTTTATATCTTCCAACACCCACTTTCAGCAAACAGCCTAACCACTAAACGTCCCAGGAAAATACAGCAAAGTAATTCAAGCACCACAAACAATAATTAATGTTTGAACAATTAAAGGCCTCAGGTATCAATAAATAATTCAACTTTCAGTTTAAACATTTTGATGTCGACTAAATTCACAGGTTGGCAGCTGGCGTATCATGGAATACACTGATCAACAGCAACTGCAACGACACTAGCGCAAGTTGTTTCCATTTGGTGCCACATTCTACAACAAGGAACAGCAAGTCAACATGACCAGAAAAATCAAATATGCTAGCCCTTCCACTAAACGCAGCTCTAAAATCAATGTTATGTGTGATGACAACTGAGTATAACAAAAGATATAATCTTTATCTGTCAATTATGTTTTAAGCAACTGCAAGAATTTTGAAAATATTGATCTTCATTCTATTTTTAATTAATTTTCTGGACTTCTATCACCAAGTATTTTAAACGTTCGTAGAACATCTTGATCGTCACATTTTGAATTCAGCATTTAAAACTTTGAAATTTTTTATATTTGGTAATTTCTTCCCTTGTGTCTCTATTGTCACAATATGTTTTCACTACAGCAATATGTTTTTAGTTTTCCTATTCTTGGATGTTTCTCTCCTTACGCTGAGTTGACATGTGGGTGCAGATCGTTATGTTGGGCATGGAGATCACTGGACGACGAAAATGGACAGGAATGCTAATGGGGTGGAACACAGGTGGGCCGTCATGCTCTACAGAGTTCTCAAACAGACTGCCAATGTTTGTGTTGTGCACGGAGATAGGCATGTAGTGGGTGCCTTGTGGGTGGAGGATGAACCCAGGCAGGGCAACAGAGGAACTGTTGTTTTCATTGCTGCGATTCGAGACCTGGCTACCAGACTTGTTCGGGCGTCTCTTTGAGCAGTCGTTGGATACGGAGGCGGAGTGGAACTCGTCCGAGTTTGGAGAGTTGTTCCCCTCGTTTTGTCCATCGTTGCGGTAAATGGTGTTGGAGTTTCCCAAGCTGGCATGCCTGGTCTTGTGCTTGTTGCTCTTCCATTTCAGCTGGCTCTGGTCGTCTTCAAGGTCGCGGCTGCTGGTGCTGGAGCTGGTGTCGCTGGGGTGCCCGTGGTTGTGGTGATGATGCTGCATGTGGTGGTGCATGTGGTGATGGTGACCCTCCTGGGAAAATCGTTTGGTGATGTTGTGTTTGAATTTGTAAACGTTGTCCCTAAAAGAGAAAGATATAGTAAAAGTTAGATGGGTATTGAAAGGCCAGTAACTGCTGTTTGTTTTTTTAAATTTAAAAATGATCATAAAAATTAAGAAAAAGATAAATGGAGAAATTGACCAAAAACAAAATGGTAAAAAATAGACAATTTTACTCTTTCTGCAAAAATGAAACTTTGCTTTGTTTGTATTGATGGGATGTGCGGGCAGGGATGTATATGCAGCACTATGCATGGTAGGGGAAGGGGGTCATGGTTATTCCTGATAAGGGGACTTGATTGTGAAATATTTAATGTTATGTATTTGGAAACAAATAGTTCACTTAAGCACTTATACTCAAATAGTGTCTTATGAAGTTCATATTTAAGCTACATTTGTGTCAATTCAGTAGGCCTATTCTTTGTCTCAAAACAATTTTATCTAACATTAATAGTATTTTTAAAACTTTAACAAAATATTTTATTTTCAGGCTTTTTAAAATTTTAGTTCAAAATAAAATATTACATTGTCTGAAAAAAAAAGAGATAAACAAATTTCATTTGAAACATTATTTCTGAAAAAAAAAGCAACATATTAAAATTTTCTGAACCATGGCAGTTTGGTATTTTCTAATATAACCCATCTTTCTACCCTACTTCTATTTCAGATGTAATAGCAAATAAAACATTGAGTAATCATAGAGAAATAGATAAGAAAACAGACTAATGAGTGATGGTGTGAGTGTGTTTTTATCTCTTATCTCATCTTTAAAAAGGTGAAACAGAAATAAAAATGAAACAAATGCGAGTGGGAAGAATTATGTACGTGTAGTCTTGTTTAGCATCTTCTAGGAAACTTTGAAATAGCTTTTGTTTGATCTTGTACGCACTTGATCCGCTAAGATTGAAACAAATAGAAAAAGATGTAGCACAGAACACTGGCATCTTAGCATAGCAGTGATGAAAAAAAGCTAATGAAAATAGAAAATAATGAAAGTTTTATAAAATGAAAAAAGTGTAGTGTGATGCATTTTCTAAATTTTATACTTTCCACAAAGTTTTAATAAAGTTCTTATTAATGCATGATTATAAAAAAAACTCTAAAAATTTTGCTGTGATTAACATTTAATTTTTTAAAATACTTCAGAAGTTAAACTTTGACAGTGTTTGTCATAAGAAAGAGTTATGTATTGTAAAATGAAATATAAATCAAAATTAAGCTATGATGTCCCTAAATTGTCCAAGGATAGACTCTTCCAAAATTAGGTGTTTTAAGTTGGTAGTGCAATTGAAATCTTGTTTAGTTTTATGGATAAAAATTAAGGTCAGGCGTATGGTAGGTCTAGGTTTGGTGTTACTGTTAGTGATAGGGTTAGCATTGACATTAGTAGGTCATAAATGTGTATTTAGTTAACTGCCAGTAACCTAATGGTCCTTTTTTAATAAGATTCTATTAGCTGACACAAGTATAAAAAAAATTAATTATGAAACAAACTGCAGCCTACATAGTATGAGATTTTAATTAAGAAAAAAGGGGAGACTACAACAACAAAATGACAAGAAATCTGGTCAATCAAAAAAAAATTACCTTGAAGAGGTTGATCCACTAGGGGAAGTTTTCTCCATGTTGGAGAGATCTGACACATAACCACTGCTGCCCATACCATTCTGGTCAGAAGTTGACCCCAAGCCATGCAGGTGATTGGAGTATGAAAACAGAGGAACCATACCTGCACAGAAGAAAGTCTACTTATTGTCTAAATGTATCAATACAATTATTTTTCTAGAAAGCAGAATATCATGATCAATATTTACTGAACATTATTAGAGCACACTAATCGTTTTTAAGTAGAAAAATAAAAAGGCAGGAAGTTTCAAGAATAAAGGTTTTACAATTTTTAAAAAAAGTGTTTTTTTTTAAACATTTAGATCACAGTTCATTAAGGAACATCAGTTTTAGGAGAGTACTGAACTGTAATTTGGATGTTAAAAAAAAGGTTAAATTTAAAAAAACAAAACAAGAGGAATTATTTGAAGATTCTAAATATGAGATAATTAAAAAAAAAACTATTATATTTAAATTTTCAAAGTATCACTACCATTAATTGACAACATCTAGTAGAACTAATATTGACACATATTGTAGTCTACAGTCATCTCTGAACTACAACTGAATATGCTAATCTAAGACATTTTTTGTTTTGTTTTAAGAAAGAGCGCGGCAGTTAAAAATGTGACCAACTCACAGTTAGACCCTGATCCAGACTCTGACACACTCTTAGAGGAAGTGATGCCATGCTGCTGTTCCCCAAGCAGTGACCGCAGGTGCTGGTCACGGTTTTTGTTTTCGCTGCTGCTGTGGTTTTCATCCTGCGACACAAACCCGCTGGATGATGCTGAGTAGAAGCTTGACCTTTGCTGCAAGAAGGCTGGCTGACCGCTGATGTCTCCGTCTAATCTTGTCAGATCAGATTTCTCCACCTCACCGTTCATGGTACCATGTGGTGCAGTCAAGTGTGGTGTGTGTGAAATTTCTAAACATTGGAAAAGCAAAAAATTCATTTTAGGAAAATTATGAAACACCATCTTGAGTTTTAAAGAAAAATTTCAAGACAATGAATTAGAACAAGAAGTAATATAATAACAAGACAAATATATTTTTCAGTACAGATTTTTAAAAATGGAAACAGTTATAGTTGTACTATTCTGTGTTTGATTATGGCATATTTAGTATAAACAGACCAGGCCTTAAAAGGCAACTCTCTAAAGGCTAAAGGTCACACTGTGCTGCCCAAATCAACCCCTGTATATTACAAAACAATTTTATTCAAGGGATCTAATTCATAATTCAAAGGTGTTATAATAAAATAGAGCTATTTTGGCTATCACTTTACTTAACATAAGAGGATAATCCAATTGTTTTTAAGATCTGTAATATCACACCAACTATCTGCTTATAAAAGGAAAATTCTAAAAAAAAAATGTATTCTTACGCTCAGTGATAAATTTCTTGCTAGCGTTTTCCAGATGGTTCATAAATTTCTTACAAAATGGATCCATGGCATTAACACTCTCGACTTCAACAAGAAACCTCATGGCTTCATCCTGGAATACATTTTTATACATTCTTATTATTTCTTCAGATTTAAACACATAGGTATAGTATGTATAAAATGCTATTTATTGGAATAAAATTGAAGAAAAAGTAAATTATTTAAAAATTCTAAAACGTTTTACTTTCTAATCTGTGTTTATCTGCAAAAGATATTACTATTTAAATTTATTGTAAAATTAAACCTGGAGAGTAACTTAGCAAAAAATTAAATAAACAAAAGACAGTAAACTAATACCTGAGCTTCTTTGAAACCCATGTAGAACTTAGTGGCACAACAGTTGCGTTCAGATGGTGCTGGCTGTGGTTTATCCTCCCTCGAATTTTCTGAAATTTACAGAATGCCAATTTAATTTTAAAATATATAAATATATTTTTAAAATATTCGTATCACATATTTGAACAGCAAATGATTTTCTAATACTTTGTATTTGTATTCTTATGTGGTTTATAAGTCAAGTCTATTCAAAATGTCATCATATTTATGATGCCATAAGATTTCTATTTATTTTAGATTTAAATAATGGGTTGGATCTTAGATCATGATAACATTCGTCTATTTTGAAATTTCTAAAGAATTTAAGTAAGACCTACTCACTTTTTTCGTAATCATCTACTTTCTGTTGCAGCATATTTATATGCTTGATGGCCATTTCAATTATTTCTGTCTTTTCTATTCTACCTTGCCCCTATAATAATATAAAGAAACATGTTTTAAAATATTTTCAATATATAAGATAACAGTTCATTTGTTTAAAATTATATTTTGTAAAGATTGTTATGTACAGATTGAGTTAAATTATAATAACAACTGTATGTGTCAAATTCTAAGATTATTTTTTTATTTAAAAAATTATTTCAAATTAAAAACACAAAGTAATCTTTAAAAAAAATATGATTAGTATTTTTAAATTATACTAGGGTTATAAATAGAATAGTTTTATAATCAAGCTTAAAAATGATATACTCAATAAAAATTGATATAAATCTCTAAAAATCTAAATAAAACTATACTAATCTATCTAAGAAGAATGGAATAAATCTCATCTGTCAATTACCGGTACCTGCTTGTGGTAGCTACTGGGTATGAGGCGGCTCAAGTCTGCAAGACAGTTATTCATCCTGTCTCGGCGCCGTTTCTCTATGATACGATGGGACATTGGATCCTAAAGCAAAGTGGACAAGTACACAAATTACATCCTTGTTTTAGACAACAGTCCTAGTTAAAATGTTAGTTAAAACTATAGGAAAATACAAATTTCAAATACTAAGAAACAATTCTTTAAAAACTAGAATGATTTTCAGAACGCAAACTCACCCTTGGAATTTTTTGACGTTTAAGACTGAGCTCAAATTCATCAGCAGCCGTGGCAAAATTCAACAGCCTGGAACATACATTTTAAATAAGGACATTAGTTATTGCATGTTTAAATTGGTCAATTTTTAATATGTAACATATATGTATTTTATAAAAATAGATTTTCAACAAATTTAACATATTTTCAACACATTTAATTAATATATTATTCACCATTCACAAAAGAAAATTGCATTTTTTAATAATATTTATAGTCAAAGTCTGCAAAACATAATCAATTTTTAATATACTAATTGGAACATGTAATTTAATGGAGATCTGCTTTTTTAAAAATAGAGCCTGTTGATTAAAATTTCAACTCAGGATACTGTCCCTTTATTGAGCAGCTTTGAATTATCATTGTTACAGATGATTTTTTAAAATCAATTTAATTTTTAAATTTTTTCGTCAGAGTTTAAGTTACATTTTGCTTGCAAGGTGTGGGGAAATAAAACATGATTTTAAATTGGGGAGTGAGAATTTAAGTAAACAACTTGTCAAGTAAATTAAACATTTATCTAATTAATGGGAGGTCACTCAGATATTATTAGTGATTTTTTTAAAATTTTGGTTATAGGCCTTAACTATAAAAATTATAAAATAAAAATTAATACAGAAACTCCTGAATTTTCGGATCTTGTTTAGATGAGCCCCGCCAATAAGTTAACCACCACCGCCCAAAAAAAAAAATTATGAAATAAAAGGACATGAAACTTGTACTTTTTAGATTTTAGTTTTTATTGAAATTGGGACATTTCATTTTATTAAATACATGCAATAACAGGTACATGTTTCGTGTTGGTAAAGAAAAATAATCCTGTTTAGACCTAGCGATCCATTGGGCAGATGAAGTTGAGATAACATGTTTCTTGACTTCGGATACGAAGGGAGGGTGTGGTCAGCACATTCCCCAGAATTTGATCAGCACTTAGCCCAGCCTTAACGTGTATTAGGCACCAGTGCTTCTGCCAGACTTTTTTCTCTGGGGGGGGGGGGGGACGACGACACTGTTAAAAGTATATTTCTATATAAGAGGTCGTCCATAAATGGCGTCACACTCGTAGGGGGGAGGGCGGGTCCGTAATTTTGTGACGGTGTGTGACAGGGGGGGGGGGGGCAGATGGTGTGACGTCACTTTTTTGCATTATAAAAAAGCAATGTTAGAAAAAGAGCTTTAGCCGAAAACGGTTTTAATAAATTATAATAGGAATTGATGAAAATAATCTATGTTGACAATTTTCTGACAAGATTTCGGAAAAATATTGATTTTTTAAGAAAAATTCAACAGCAACTTTGGGGGGGGGGGGGGGGGGGGGGGGTTGTAGGCTGAGGTGTGACGTTATTTTAGGAGGGGGGGGGGGGCTGACTTTTTGTGACGACGTGTGACGGAGGGGAGGGGGGTAAAAATCGACCAAAAAAAGTGTGACGTCATTTATGGATGACCCCTAAATTACATTCAGTTGGGGGGGGGGGGTGCAAATTGAAAGTTTGTTTCCGGGCGCCGGGAAGGGTCGCTACGCCTCTGGTTGACTATCAATATAATAATAGGCTTTCAGACCTTGGTTGTCCGAGATTGAGTTGTATAATAGTAAGTATATTTTAGACTTTAAATGAGGGCTACTTGTGCATATCGTGTTCATGGCATCGGGCAAGAATAGCCTACACTCTAAAGATTTTTTAAAAATATCTAAAGATGTTGCGCCAAGGTTATAAAACACGTGACAATATAGATCTAGAACTCGACTATGCGTTGGTTGTTTTTCCTCAATTATTGTTCTACATACTTATCATATTTTGTTTATTCTCTCAAAGAATGTTTTAATTTTTTTTTAGATGCACTGAACAAAAAGTTGTAACAGAAGAGCGTAGCGATAAAAATAATGGCGGCCCTGATTAAATAGATTGTAACAGCTGATCTAAGTTTGATTTATAATAGTCGTTCGACATCGAACTAAGATTTCAGACAGATAGGCCTAGTCTCTAACTATGTAGATCTAGGCCTAAATAAATGTGTAGCCTAAAAAAATTATTTTCTCGCATTTGTAAATTTTAAATCTTTTCAACTATTGTGTTTTTCTTTTGAATTTGTTATTTGTTAGTAAAATGGACCAAAAAACGGGTTTTAATCAAGAATGATCTAGATCTAGAACTTTTCAGACAACTGGGCCGGTGATTTTTTTTTTTTCGCCCCCCCCCCCCCCCCCCCTCCCTTTATTTTTTTATTAGGCCTAATTTACGAAACCTATTGTTCAAAGGTTCAGCGATACTGCGTTTGTTATTCTCTAGTACGCTTCATAACGGTTTATGTACTCAACCTTGTGGTAATCAAAGAGAAACAAACCAATTATCGTAGCTGTTCCCAGAATCCTGCGCGCTCAACAGCAGACGGCCGCTGGTTGTCGCCTGGAACGTTTAATCAGCACGTGCATGGGCACGAGACTTGCGCAGTTTCTCCTCACCCCACCCCCCCTTCCCATATCGATAAAAAAACCAACCTTTCCTCTCTACCCGTTTGTGGTTCTCTCTCCCTTTTCTCTCCCCCCCCCCCCCCCCCCCCCCCCTTCAGCATGGGGAAACGCGATACACCGCACCCGCCGTTTGGCTGATTGTCACCGCCGCGTCGTCCGTCACGAACGGTTTGTCATCCATCATGGCGGCCAGCTCGTGACCCGCACGTGTTCGACCTGCTCGCCGGGAATTCCCGATAAATGTGTCCGCGCCGTTGGCCCTATACATATTTAATTTCCCCTCCCCACCCCATCCACGTTTTCTCCTTTTCCCCAAGCACGTTTTATTTTTCTACTGCCGTCATAACTTATTACCTTAATGAACAAAGTCTGGCATTTGCAAATTGTTCTAATTAACGGGTAATTTCTCGTGTCAGGTCGTGGCCCCGCGCTCGCATTTTCTCGTGTCAGTGGTTCTGAAATTATGTGGTGCGTACAGGCACCGAGGTCGCCACTAGCCGAGTGATCACCACAGCTTTCCACAAGCAGTGGGGTCGCGACCCTGTCACGATGACGGGTCGCGACCCGTGTACGGGTCATCAAGTTAAAGGTGAGATTGTGTGTTCTGTTAACTGCTTTAAATACGATGGCAACGTTGTTGTGTTAATACTGTCTAAAGTTAAAATCTAAATAACCCCTTAACCCCAGTTTGGGTAGTTAGGGCACCAGAGAGCGGTGTGTCTAGGACTAAGTGTCGCATGGCGGTGCCCTCCCCTCCCCATGCCTGACCACAGAACAAAGCCTTCATCTGGGTGGCTCGCCTTCGTCACGAACACGTGGTCGTTGAAGTTCATCGAGGAACTCTTGCGCTCTGGGCCGGTGACCTTTACAGAAGGTCATACCCCCAGTGATGCCGGGTTAGCATCAGTTGTTTGATTTGAATTTTTCTCTCCTAGATGAGTTGCTGTTCCCAACTATTAGCATCAGTTGTTTGATTTGAAAATTTTCTCTCCTAGATGAGTTGCTGTTCCCAACTATTAGCATCAGTTGTTTGATTTGAATTTTTCTCTCCTAGATGAGTTGCTGTTCCCAACTATTAGCATCAGTTGTTTGATTTGAAATTTTCTCTCCTAGATGAGTTGCTGTTCCCAACTATTAGCATCAGTTGTTTTGATTTGAAATTTTCTCTCCTAGATGAGTTGCTGTTCCCAACTATTAGCATCAGTTGTTTGATTTGAATTTTTCTCTCCTAGATGAGTTTCTGTTCCCAACTATTAGCATCAGTTGTTTTGATTTGAATTTTTCTCCTAGATGGTTTCTGTTCCCACTATTAGCATCAGTTGTTTGATTTGAAATTTTCTCTCCTAGATGAGTTGCTGTTCCCAACTATTAGCATCAGTTGTTTGATTTGAAATTTTCTCTCCTAGATGTGTTGCTGTTCCCAACTATTAGCATCAGTTGTTTGATTTGAAATTTTCTCTCCTAGATGAGTTGCTGTTCCCAACTATTAGCATCAGTTGTTTGATTTGAAATTTTCTCTCCTAGATGAGTTGCTGTTCCCAACTATTAGCATCAGTTGTTTGATTTGAAATTTCCTCTCCTAGATGAGTTGCTGTTCCCAACTATTAGCATCCGTTGTTTGATTTGAAATTTTCTCTCCTAGATGAGTTGCTGTTCCCAACTATTAGCATCCGTTGTTTGATTTGAAATTTTCTCTCCTAGATGAGTTGCTGTTCCCAACTATTAGCATCAGTTGTTTTGATTTGAAATTCCTCTCCTAGATGAGTTTGCTGTTCCCAACTATTAGCATCAGTTGTTTGATTTGAATTTTTCTCTCCTAGATGAGTTTCTGTTCCCAACTATTAGCATCAGTTGTTTGATTTGAAATTTTCTCTCCTAGATGAGTTTCTGTTCCCAACTATTAGCATCAGTTGTTTGATTTGAATTTTTCTCTCCTAGATGAGTTGCTGTTCCCAACTATTAGCATCAGTTGTTTGATTTGAAATTTTCTCTCCTAGATGAGTTGCTGTTCCCAACTATTAGCATCAGTTGTTTGATTTGAAATTTTCTCTCCTAGATGAGTTGCTGTTCCCAACTATTAGCATCAGTTGTTTGATTTGAAATTTTCTCTCCTAGATGAGTTGCTGTTCCCAACTATTAGCATCAGTTGTTTGATTTGAAATTTTCTCTCCTAGATGAGTTGCTGTTCCCAACTATTAGCATCAGTTGTTTGATTTGAAATTTTCTCTCCTAGATGAGTTGCTGTTCCCAACTATTAGCATCAGTTGTTTGATTTGAAATTTTCTCTCCTAGATGAGTTGCTGTTCCCAACTATTAGCATCAGTTGTTTGATTTGAAATTTTCTCTCCTAGATGAGTTGCTGTTCCCAACTATTAGCATCAGTTGTTTGATTTGAAATTTTCTCTCCTAGATGAGTTGCTGTTCCCAACTATTAGCATCAGTTGTTTGATTTGAAATTTTCTCTCCTAGATGAGTTGCTGTTCCCAACTATTAGCATCAGTTGTTTGATTTGAAATTTTCTCTCCTAGATGAGTTTGCTGTTCCCAACTATTAGCATCAG